GGGAGAGAGGGGAGAGGGAGGGGGGTGGGGAGGAGGGGGGGGGGGGGGGGGGGGAGGTGTCAATATTTGCCAAGAAATGTGTTACATAATACTTGAATGACCCCAAAGGTAGGCCTAGCCACTCCACTAAAATTAGAAACTTCAGACCCGGAAAGACCCTTTGGACCAAATGTACGCACCAGTTGTTTCTGCAGTAATGCTTCAAATTTAAATTAAGTATCCTGTATCATATTGATATGTGTTTTCCAGATCGATTCGGGCGGGTCATCGTGGCGTGGCGAGGCCCCTGTATTATTATCGTCAGAGCGATGCTCATGTCCCAGACCAAGGGTGGGCATAAAAATCGGTCGGAGAGGGCCATAAGTGAACTTTTAATTTAACACCGAGGGCCGCACCCAAACTTTGATGTTCCAGTCCAAAACCTCCAAGCATTGCTTTTACATCACCTTTATTTTCAGTTTTAATGTTACTTTTTACATATTATTGGTGTCGGGCCGTAAAAAACAAGGTGTTTCTAGCCAATTTTGATTGGCAGGTCGCAAACATAGGGTTTTTAATTCATTGTCGCGGGCCGCAAAATATCCCGGTTGACGGGCTCATGCGGGCCGCACTTTGCCCACCTGTGTCCTAGACATTTTTTGGCCGAATTATGCAACTCATAGGATCGGACTCATGAAGTTTGATTTGTCGATAGAATGTCGACATGTTTATTTTTATTTATTCATTTATTTTTTTGGTTGGGGCCTAAAAATGAGTGTAAATGCATAGATCATCAATTATAGCTAGCTAATACTGTAACAGTATACTGTGTCGTCATATCATAACAGTTGTTGGGCTAGTTTAGACGTGTTTCAGGGATTTCCCCATACTATGACGTCAGTTTGTGGGCGTGACGAAATAGCAATATATTAGATGGAGACTTGTTCTTACTTGTCTTCAGTCTATTAATATCTGCATGAATGTTATTTTTTTTGTTATAAAACTAGGCGTACTGTGGAATTCAATCACAGCTTTACTGGCGACTACTACTGAAGGAACACTGAATCATTTGGTTCAGCATTTTATCTGTATTTTAACGAGCTTTCAATTCCTAGCCAGCTACAGTAGCCACGTAGGCCCAGCTACCACCACCAGAAGAATTGACTCTCGCCGGTCTGGCGCACATCGTTCCCTACTACGTCCACTCAGTCAGTGTTTGCCAGTGAGGCCTAGACCTGCCTAGTAGTAATTCTCGCCAACTATCATTTTGTACTGAATTGAACCAACAATGCCTAGAAGGAAAGGGCCAAAACGAGCTGCCGCTGGTGAAGACATCACACTGACCAAAAATGCTGACAGCTTGCCAGAGGAAAAGAAGAGGAGGAAGGTAGATTCTGATAAAACTGGTAAATATTAGGTGAATTTTACATGCAATACAGTAATGTCATCTGGTCCTACTGCAATACTATAGGTAACTTGGCCTAGACTATCTACTTCTATGGTGAAATCTACAGTATTGCCCCGAGGAGACCGTAGCATCTTCCCTCTGGCCTACGGCCTTTAGACCACGGTCTTCACAGCCCTTCACATTCCTCTCATGAGCAGTCAATATTTGTGTATACATGTAGTATCATACCCAGAGTATAAAATACGACCTGCGCAGTGAGGGATGATCTCTGCTTAAAAATTAAGACCGCCTAGACAAATAGTTTCAAAAGCAGTGTTTTATTTCCACCCAAATTTTGGAAATTTTAATAACGTCAGACAGGCATGGAAACACCCACCCCCCTCGTCCGGCACCATCAAAGTCGTCGGATCAAAAATGATAATTTGCCTATCCATAATATTATGTTATATTGATTGCCAATCCCAGTACAATGCTACCAAAAAACACATTTTAACCCATAGACCACCCATACCGTACTGTAAATTATTCTAAATTGCATGGATGATACCTAAAGAACAGTCTCAACTTGCTATAAAAGTATGTGCACAGAATCGTAACTACTGCATACGGTAATACATACTTTTTATATAGATTAGGTCAACGCTTATCTTTCATCAAAATCTGTGCGGAAGTATCGGCACTTATTTTCCGAAAAGTGCAGACGGATTTATAGACCTAAGTTTTGCACAGAGGATATTCCCCGCACAGGCCTTACTTTAAATACAGTCTGGAGGTGTACTATAGCCATAATAGGGAGCTTTCATTTGCACGACAACGGTAGGACGTACAACGTAGAACGTAATGACGCCACTAAAAGTCATCTCCGCATCCAAGAACGTTAAGGTCACCTTGTCGAGTAGATTCTGGAACGCAATTTGACCAAATCTACATTTGCAGAGAACGTAGGACGCCAGGTAGGACGGTCACGCATGAGTGATTCCGTTCTAGCATCGCGTCGTCGCACAAATCGAAAGCTCCCTAGTAACTATTCCTGTGTACCCTGCCCCAGATATTTTTATTTCTGACCAAGGCTCTTAGTTTGGACTTCCTGTTGAATGTGTCGGACACTGGTTGGTCCTTGAGCACGAGAGCATATAGAGACTCCAAATGTGTTCTGAGTATTAAACCAAGTGTATGAGAATTGATTTATGCAATTTATTTTCTTATTTTAAAACAGACACTCAGAACTTTCATACATTAATACTACATATATAGTCATATTTTTCTAAAAACTTGCAACATTTTCAGCTAAGTTTCAGTATTTGTATTTGGTATTTATTATTTGAATACAGTATCATGCCTTTTCAACATGAACTTATTAAACCTTTCAATTTTGTTGAAAATGATTGAATTTCTTTCTTTAAAATATCAGAATTGAAAGGTGACAGTACATCTATGACAGTGGTAGAAGCAGGCCCTGCAGGTTTTAAAAGTGCAATTGTGATCACTGATTCTGATGTAAAATTACCAGGACGAAAACAGGTTTCTTATGAAGACTTTACCTACCTGAAAGACAAAGGTCAACCAGGAACACAGGTTATGCTTGCCCATAAATATACAGATGAGTAAGTTGGAACTTTTTTACAGAAATAAGATGAGACCTTTTTTATACTCTGTTGCCCGGTGATCATGATAAATTCAAAATAAAGATTGTAAATTTTATTTTTGGCCAGTTAGCACAACTGCTGCCACAAAAAGAGTGCTTGTTCCACCTCCAGAACCATAGGCTAGTGTGCCGTTCAAACCAGCGTCGATATTTATTGCTGTAGGTTGCGGCAATTTGAGTCGCCTAAAAAGTACTAAAATGTTACATTATATTTTTAGTGTGGACCCAAAGGGATGGTGGATGAGTGAGAAGCTTGATGGACTGCGGGCATTCTGGAATGGAAACAACTTCTACTCTCGACTTGGAAATAAATTCTATGCACCTGAATACTTTACTAAGGTAGGTTTGAGAAAAAAAAAATATCCGGACTATCAAACTTTATTTGTCAAAAACATGTGACATGCCTAAATATGGTCATGATTGATATCAAATTATGACCATATATAGGCATGACTATGGGCATACAACAATTTGTTTAAATTTTTTTTTTTGTAATTAAAATGTATAGGAAAAAAATACAGATAATTAAGCATGTGCAATCTACATAGCCATAGTTTAGATTGAGGATTCAATAATGTTTTTGTTACAAAAGCCAACATAGGCTAAGAATCTGTATCTGAAATTTATTAACATTTATAACGGTTAATATGAAAGTGACGAATATGTCTCCCTATTTCAGCCACTAGAAACTCCTAGGAAAATTGGCTTGCTCCTGAAACCCTGGTTATAAAGTGGTAGTAATAGATGGTGGTGGCCTGTAGAATAATATACAGTATAGGCCTACTGGGATATACGTTTGAATGAGTTTCCCAGCACTTTTTATGGAGAAGATAAAGTCTTGAATAGAACTCTTTGATGACTGTATGTGTTATCCTAGGAACATTGATAATTTAAATAAAGTATCCAGGTTTGGTAAGGTTCATTCACAATGCTATATTCAAGTAATACATGTAGTTTCATTGAAGAATTCAACCAGCAGCAAAAATATCACTAACACTAAAGTGTGATGTCATTTAGTAAGATATTAAATTGGCAACAACTTGGAGGGTTCTGGGGAACATAGCTATTGAACCGAACAATAGGTAGGGGAGCACCTGAAATCAAACCTTTCTCTCTTGACCATAGGTTCTGCTGCCTTCAGACCTTATTATCCTCGATTCCCACTTGTGCCACCCACCGACAAAAAAAATTGGGATCTGCTACTGAGGCAACAATTATAATAATGAAATTCAGAGTGAAACTTGCTTGAAAGATGATAAAAATTTTAATAAATTGAGTGTGTCCCAACCTCTTTTTTTTTTTTTATTATCCTCATCCTGTTTAGAATTTTCCAAAAGACATTCAGCTTGATGGTGAACTGTTCTTTGGCCGTGGAGAATTCTCAAAGGCGGTTAGCATTGTCAAGTCCAAGGATGTTGATAAAGGATGGGATAAGCTTACGTTTGAGGTAAGTTATCAAATGCAGGTATTTTATCCAACATTATCTCCTTCTAAAAACAATTCTGCATGAAGGCTAAATTTCCTGTATGATCTAAATGTACTGGGTGTGATCTGCAGAAGTTCATGCTTCGAACAATTCAATAAATAAAAGCATATCATTAGCCATAGTAGAAAACATAACTCTGGCTCTTTTAAATTTGATAGTTTTAATTTGCAGTTTGAAACATAATTTATTAATGGAAACATTACTATGTAAACTCGCTGCAATTATAATGCTAACCACATTGTAATATTCCTTGATTAATTAAGCTTAAATACTGGCCTTTTCAAACAACCCAAATATTTTGGGGTCCTGCTATTCTTCAGTATAAATTTTTTTTTAAAGGAATTTGGAGGAATATGGTGAGTACTGTCCCGTCTACAATATTACATTTTATGTAACAAATTTATTTTATATGCCCATATATGGGCATGATGATGTCATATTACACCCACATATGGGCATATCACATATATCTGTCACAGAATTTTATAGTGTTGGTAGACCTTAACACAAAATTTGGAGTTCTTTTCATCTACTCTGTACTCCATAGATTTAAACATTTTGGTAGATATTTTTAAGTTGACTTTGCTGAAGTTGTGTATTATAATTTGTTTTCATTTCATTTAAATTGTTATCTGTTTCAGATATTTGATGCACCAAACATTAAAGCAGAGTTTGAGGATAGAATTGAAGCTGTTGCAGATTACTTTGAGAAAAACAGGTTTGTTGTTTTGTTTGATACGCATTTTGTATGATTGCAAGTTATGAAGACTGACATCTCACAAATCGGGCAAATTCAACACATTCTAATTGTTTGCTAGCATGCCATAGAATAGAACTGAATGATAATTTTCTCTTCAGATAGAATCCATTCCTTCTTTGCATTTACCATTAAATTAATTGGATATTTGTAGTAAAAAGGTTATTAATCAGTAAATATTATAACACACCTAAATAGATACTGTCATTTGATTGGTGGATTTTGTATTACGTGACATTGGTTATTTAACCCATTTTGTCATTCATCATGGAAATAATATTTTCATTCATTGAAAGATTGACTGTTCCATTCAACTCGGCTCCGCCTCGTAGAATGGAACAGTAGGTCTTTCAACTCATGAAAATATTCTTCCCATTCCGCTGCCTACCATTGTTTTCCTGAATTATTAAGGCTTGGCTTGCGCTTCATAACCGCAAGGGAAAGGCGCAATATAAATACCCAATACCAGTACCAGTCATAAACATTCATTATTTGTATACTAAATTGTTGCTATCTGTATAATTTTTTTACATTTGGTTTAAAAGCGCCTTTAGATGGTTTTTATTGTGGAAGGTGCTTTAAACAAGTAGTACCAAAATTGATGTATCTTGTTGGATGTTAAACTTTCATGAATGAGCAAATAATTTTTAAAAATAATTAATGCTTTTCCAGTTTTCAAGTTTTCTATATTTTAGTTTTTAAAAATTAATATTAAATTCTTATACTGTACCGTATAATTTTATTTTTCAGAACTCCTTATGTTCATGTGTTAGAACATGTACTTTGTAAAGGCAAAGATAACATAGAACAACAGCTGAAACGTGTAGAAACCTTGAGCGGTGAAGGCCTCATGATACGCGAGGCAAAATCTGATTACGACTTTGGAACACGCTCAAAAACGTTGCTGAAAATCAAATCATTTTATGATGCCGAGGTAAGAAACGCTGAACATTGTAGATAGTAGCCCTTAGGAGAATCTGTACTTTTGATCTGGTTTATGGTGGTGACCAATGAAATTTCTCTAGCATATGAAGTCTTAGTAAGAACAATTTTTTGCCCTACCTGACGTGTTATCCTACCGAATGCTCAGTATTAAGTTCCCAAATACTTGCGAAAAAATCTTGCAAGTTATTTGGGTGGGAATTGAACCCACGACTTTCAGATAACTAGCCCGGTGTTATAACCACTAGACCCACCAAACTTGTGCTTAGTGGTTTTATTATGGAATTACTAAGCATTCAGTACCACACATGCCAAGTAGGGCAGAACATCATTCCTATTAAATTTCCTGATAGGGTCAATATAATTATTCTGTCATTCATAAGATATTTGATCTAGTGTTTACAATCCCTCTGTCTCTTTAGTATATCAGTGTAGTTGCTAGCCAGGCCCATAGCCAGCATCTACAGTAGTTTCCAGGATACGAGTTTGTTGATTACTTCATCTGTTCTTCTATAACAGAGCCTTGCAAAAATATGAGATGTGTATCTTCTTATTTGAGTTTATGTGATGTTTATTATTCAATTGCATACCAAGTAAAAAAAAGTATTCTTTTACAAAAAAATAGGCTATTGTGATTGGCTATGAAAAAGGAAAAGGTCGTAATACAGGCGTAGTGGGTGCTCTTTGCTGCAGGATGGAGTGTGGAACTAAATTTTCAGTTGGCTCTGGGTGAGAAATTTCTCGTTACTATTTAAAATTGTCATATATATTCATAAATCATTGCTCAAAACAGTTTATTGGTTACATAAATATATAATTTTAAAATAAGCACAGAAAGTATATTATACAATGTTATTTTTATTTCTGTTTTCATCTTTAGGTTGAATGATAAAGAACGTAAAAATCCTCCGAAGAAAGGAAGTATCATCACGTACAAGTTTCAGGAATTGACGAAGTCTGGCAAGCCAAGATTCCCAACTTATATTGGTATGTGTAGATAAATGTATTTTATCAAAGTAAAGTCATCTGAGTTGTATGATTTGCTGTTGGCAGGCCTCTTCCACAAGGTCACCCACTTATATAATGGTGGATGTTGTGAGGACCGACCACTGCAGGCTCAATCTCAATAATAAAATAAATAATATGTCGTTCTTATATAGCGCTTCATGCCTTTACAAGGCCTCTAAGTGCTTCGCATTACTACTCCGGTCATTGGATCAAACACCTATAAAACACATTGAACACCAAATTAAATTAGTAAATGTCCAATCCAGAAGTGGTGGCTGATCGTACCGCCTGGTCTCGCAGGATACATACCCCAAACAGTTATCTTACAGATAACAAACTTTCAACAATGATATCAGTATTATATTTTAAAGTTTCCAATTTTGGACAATAACACATTTGATTTTTATTGATGCCTAAATATTTAATATTTTAATTTTTTTTTTAACAGGTGTCCGAATTGACATGGACAAACCTAAAGACGCTGTACTGCCAGCTGGTAAGAACAATGAATAGAGAGTACCTTCTTCTGCATGTCAAGAAAAAAAAATAACCATGATGACTGGATGCAATGTACATTTGACTCTCATTGCAGTACTGTAAATTAAATATATTGAAGGTATTTGGAAAACATGTGCGAAAGTTAATAATTGTGTAATAATGGCATACAAGCATGTGACTGAATGCAATATGGTGATTTGATATTGATGAAGCATTAAAATAATTTTGTATATTTTTAACTGTGTGTAAAAATATAAAATTTACTATTTCAATATGGAATGTATGTGTTAAATTTGAAAAATTAAAATCAAATTTTATTTATTCTTTTGGAATTAAAGTGAGTACAATAATGGAAATAATCATATCTTTCTAATGCAAATAGGGATGAATACATATACAAATTTACTAGATTAAATGATATAATGATTTAGTAAAATGATAGAGTAGAAAAATGAATTTTATATATTTGTAACTGTGTATAAAGATTTAAAATTTACCATTTCAATATGAAAGTTTAAAATTAAAATCAAATTTTATTTATTCTTTTGGAATTAAAATGAGTTCAATAATGAAAATAATAAAATTTTTAACACAGAGAATATTAGTACATAGATGAGTGCCAGTTGAGAAAGAGATAGGCTGGACCTGGAAACATCCCGGAAATTTGTTACATTTTTATTGGTTGATCTTAAGAAATAGTATTTCAATTATTGTAGATGTATTCCATAATATGCAAGATAAAATTTATTGCACAAAGATTAAATTAATTTATGAAACAAATGCTTTCAGGTGTAACAGCTGTCAGGTATGTTTTGAATACATAAATCTAACATGTGTTAGAAACTTGAAAATAGGATAACTGTAAAAAGCGTATCATTTTAATGATTATAGAACTGTATGTTAATATTCTTGTAGGTCAAGTGCAAAAAATAATAATGATATATAAAACTGAACTCTTATTAAAAACCCAGACACAGAAATACTGAGATGATGTCCAGCGGGATAGTTTTTATCACTAGATTACTTCTAGTAATAGTTTCACATTTCTCTACGAGCAATCTTTATTCGGGCCCTGAAACCAAGGCTCATAAATATCAGGTTGATGTCTGGCAGGGATAGTTTTAACTCTAGATTACTTCTAGATTAGCTTAAATAATTTTTTGTAAAGTGGGGTCTTTTTATTTGTTATATTTTAATTAAGGATTACATAAAGCATTGCTTCCAGTGTGAATCCTAAATACATCTTGTATTCATATTTTCACACTGTTTTTTATCATTGTAATTACACATGTTAATATGAATGTGACTTTGCGAAAGAAATTGGAATTGAAATTTAGTACTTATTAGAAATTACTATTATTGCAATACACTTTTACAGTTTATATAGTGTGATATACAAGGCCAATAAGAGCCTACTGTTTGTCTTTCATTAGATGCCTTAATTTTAGCATGGAGAAAATTTTGTACTTTTGAGATGTGTCAATTTGGTATCCTTTGGTATGGTAGTGATACTTCAATACATTGGTATTAGATCTGATATAGTCATTATTTGTTGTGTGGTTGATTATAAAATATGTTTAGTTTGTTTAAGTTGTGTCCTTTTATTTGTTATGTTTTAAGCATTCATAAATTATTGCTTCCAATATAATTCCTTGCATCTTGTGTTCATATTTTCATTTAATGTCATTAGTTATTTATTCTGCAATATTTTGAGAGGGTAGTTCGAACAGCAATGCTTACTTGGAATAGGACCTCTTTCAAATCAATTCAAATACAATATAAAAATCCTAACTAAAATAAATTAAGACAAACAGACACATGTTAATATGAATGTGACTTTGTGAATTAAATTAGAATTTAAGTTTTAACTTTTGTACAATTTCGAAATTTACCATTATGACAATACATATATGTTATATAATGGATATATATTATATAAATACAACATATGCCTATGTCTTTCAGTAAAATTCTTAATTTTGTACAAAGTGGCTATTTTGGTACTGTTTTTTTAGTGATTCTTCAATACATTGGTATTAGATAAGGATATAATAATTATTTTTTGTGTGATTGATTATAGTAAAAGTTGGGTATTACATTGTGAAAGTCTTTTTAAAAAACAAGAACTAATAACTGTCAGGTTCAAAAGAGCAAATCCAACTTCTTTAGGTAGGGACGGACAAACAGCTTGTAAAAGTTATTGGAAGTATTGTATCTTGAATAAAACAATAGTTTGAATATTTTTTTTAATGCTTGTGTGTTCTTTTACTCTACTCCGGTAAATAAATTTATCTGGCGGAAGAGAAGATAGTGTGAAAGATTTCATCAAACAAAAAGGGCAAGAGTAGCGTCACATTCAAAACACACGCATCGTTAGATAAGTATTTATTATTTATAGGCCTCTATGTTTTTCCTACAGCAATTATTAATCCAACAGAAACATTGTTGTTTAATCATTTGGAATCAGCTACACCAATTACATCCAGTTTCATAATTTTGTTGAAAATTTAACTGCGCATTAAAAAGGAAAATACGAGAGAAGGAAAACGATGGAGTTGGAAAACAGTAGTATTACTGCAGCGCTAACATTATACTCACGATAAAAGCACAACAAAAAACTAACCGTGCTCTTCAACATCAATCCAAGGACAGGATTTCCAATTTATTTCTCCCCGACAAATTGCGGTTTTTCTCCCGACTGGGGGGGGGGGGGTGCGGCGCTCCCAGACGCGGAACCTTCCCCGCCCCACCTCCAGGTCGCCCCTCTGGCGCCACCCCTGAAGAGATTTTACACGTCAAGAGATAAACAGTAATTTCACTATAAACAACTCCCTGTTAAGAGGAATTTGAGTAAGACGTGCGCTATTCGAGCCGGGATCTTCTGCTGTCTATGCCGAAAAAAAATACCCAAAAAAAAAATCATTTATGAAATTAGTTTGCTCATTTTTAAGTATATAAATATCAACAAGTATCAACCTTAACAGATCGGAAATTAGTGTATTTTGTTATCAAGTCCATAGTTACGTTGGTTGGTTGGTTCTAGGTGTACTATTTTAATCAAAATTGTTTCCCACTGAAAGCTGAGTGCGCCACCAAGTGCATACGTCAGTAGTATTCGATGTATTCGATACGCCGTTCTTCTTAAAACTCGCATCATAATAGCATCAGAAAACCAAGATCCACGAGCTTCGATTAAAAGGTTTCAAATGGGACAATTTAGGGATTTCATTAATCGATTTTCGAGTCTACTGATATGTAGAAAATACATATAATTTTTTTTTCTCCCCAACGAATTGTGTTTTTTCTCCCCGACGGCGCCACCCCTGATAAAACCCATAGAAACAACAAACGGCCACATAAAGCAAACAATTATAAATTTAAACGGAACAGTAGAGAAAATCTGATCAGAACGACAAAAATAAACTAAGTATCTACTGGAAAAAATCCCAATATCTGCAAACGAATGCGTTTCGCCCTTACAGACCTCATTGTTAAAGAATCTCTTTTGAGATCCAGCAGGCCGTCATCGATGCACATATGTGCATAGAGATTAATCTTTGATCTCCGATCTTGTCCAAGGGCCGCCAACTAGTGTTGTTGGTAAGACTTTCGTAGGACACAGAGAATTGTCATTCCTACGAAACTCACTGTAGTTGGCGCCCTTGGACATGATCCTAATATATCGAAATGGGATTATCGGGTCTTTTTTAAATTCCTCTATTTCGTTTTCGGTTGGGTTTATATTGTGGTAGTTCATTAATTATATATATGTTTTATTTTATTTCTGTATGTGTAACATTGTCTTGAGATGATACTTTTACTATGAAAATAAAGGAGGGACTTTTACAGATGGAAAGTGTAGACCACTTCAGCCCCACCATGGTTGGGGCTGAGGTAAGCATGAGGTAAGCATGCCATAATTAATGCATAGTTTGCCGGAAATAACATTTTCAGACTAAATTTGAATATAATTTTCATTTTTCCCCTCTTTTAAATTTTGGGAAAAAAAAGGGGAGGGGGGAGGGCGGGCCGACTGGGCCTCTTGCATCTTCAAATGAAGCACCGAAATACTCATAAAAAAGTTTTTCAAATTTTCCTGGTAATCATAATTAATTATGCCCGCTTATATATTTCGTGCAAATATTCATAAAAATAATGATTTATTATCTACTGATTAGCTTGTGACGTATTCGCACCACGAAAACCAAATAAGATAAACTTAAAACAGTCATTAAATTAGTGAGTGGAAATACACCGTCTGATTTACTATCAAATAGGACTAGGAAAATAAGAAGCACACAAAACATTAGTTAGCATTTTGAGTTCACAAACATAAAGGTGATTTACTTAATTTATCATTATCAATAGCGGATCCAGAAAAGCGAAATAGAGGGGTGGGGGTGGGTGGAAGTTTGGAAAAGTAAACCACCTCAGCTTCACCATGGATGAGGCTGAGGTAAGAAAATTTATGATGACACCTCTCGATGGCCGTGGCACTCTCATACCTAAATTCTAATTCTAATATTTTCCCCCATTTTTTTATATAATTAAAAAAAAAATTCGTGGGGCTCGGGGAGTCGCCTCGGCCACACTTGAATCGGCCACCGATCATTATGACGTCATTGCAAGATTGCGCCAACATAACACTGAGTTTGTAAACTTGTGGTATCACTAATGTGAAAGGTTCTTAAATGTATGACTAAAGTTTTTTTTCTTTAAACTTACATGACACTGTCTTCGGTCGCTGACAATGACTAGATGAAATTCTTCCAAGTATTGTGGTATCACTACTTAAATAAATCGAAATAGTACCTGCCCGCATCAAAGGCTGTATAATTATTGTATAATAATGGCTATATAAAATTCAATTGACTAACTATAATTTTTTGAAATTAGGAAAAACAGTAATGAATGTATGCAAATCATATTATAAACACTATAGGCCTACAGTAGTAGGCCTATATACGTACGGGTCATATACAATGAATAAATCGTTTATGGTAGAAATTGTGCACTTTTCAGTTTGTAAAAATATTGGCCTGCTTCTAACTTTAACAACGTACAATACATTTTTAGAACAAATTTCGCCTCTGACAGTGGCGTATCTAGGGGAGGGCGGGAGGAGGAGGGGCGCACGCCCCCAATAAATGACTAGCACCCCCAGTCGCCCCCCCAAAATTCACGGTCAAGTAGTTAAAATCACCTAAAATCACCATATTTTGCGAATTAGCGCCCCTCAACTGATCATCCAGCCCCCACCCCCCACTTCACCTTCGCGTCCCCCCATTTCAAGACCTCTAGATACGCCACTGATAAACGTTGCACCCATAAAATCGATGTCCCGGTTACTGAGATGGTTACGAAATGCAGGGGTGCCACCAGCGGGGGGGGGGGAGCTTCCCCCCACCCCCGTCGGGGAGAAAAAGCACAGTTCGTCGGGGAGAAAGAAATAATTATATATATTTTTTACATTATTAGTAGGCCTATAGACTATAAAATCGATTAAATAAGCCTTTGAAACCCCTAAATTGTCATACTTTTCGGGGCTTCTCCTCCAGGACCACTTTCGAAACCTTTTAATCAAAGCTCGTAAAAGCCCACTTTGCTTTCGTCGGGAAATCGGACCCCTCGTCAGGGCATCGGCCCCTCGTCGGGGACCTCGGGTCCCCCTCCCCGTCGGGCAAATCCTGGCACCACCCCTGACGAAATGTACAAACATTTGCGCTTTCATTCGGTTTTGGTTCGGAAATAAGCACCGCACTTGGAAAAAGAACACAAGTGAAACAGACAAAATTCATGACAAATTCTTTCCATTCGCTTTGAAAAATTTACAAAAGAAGCATGGGTCTACATCATCAAGAGACTTAAAAAAAGGAAAAAAAAAATCTAAAATACAACGAGATAAAGATTGAATACAGTACATTAAATGTTGTTTCATACAGTACTTTACAAAGTTACGAAAAGTCTTCTTCACCTAAATGTAGGATCATGGACCTATAAATACGTCTATGTTGGTCCATGGTAGGATCCTGAAAATATTGATCAACGAAAACATGTGTTCTACGAAACGGATAATCGAATGCAGCAAAGCCCAAGTACAACCAAAGAGTATAAATAGAACAAGAGAGCAAAGTCCCGTTCGTAAAAACGTCATGCCTGTGTAGGACGCCAACTAACGGTTGTATATTCTTTTTATTACCCAGTGCAGCGCTGCGCAGCGCGGTAGAAGTACGCCCGCTATAAACTCAGTAAGCAGAAAACAAAAGCACAGTATCTTGTGGAGAACAGATAAACAGACAAACCTACAGTGCGCGGTGCAGTACTGGGTAATAAAACATATACAAGCGATAGTTGGCGTCCTACACTAGCTGCGTAGAGCGTATCGTTTTTTTACGCTCCCAATGAGCGTTGTTGGCTCTCTTGTTCTATTTATACTCTTTGGTACAACCAAAGATACTAGAAATACAAGATAGAGTTCTCCACACAAAAAAAGTGTTCCACTGTGTTCCACCGAAATGCATGGTGGGAATACGAAAAATGGGACGCCCCTGGTATTTTAATTGTTAAATCAAATATAATCTGAATTTCACATGTTTGTTTTTCCGGCTAGTAATTTCATTTTCAACAAAAAAATGACATTCTCAAAAAAAAAAAAAAAAAGAAGTCTTTTCAGAACTATCTATGTTTTACCGCCAGCATTACAGGAGTACTTCAACATGCAAACCTTCAAACAATATTTCATCATTATGTTGTCCCTGATATAGTATTTACAAAGACAACAGTACATCATCCTTATCCACATCGCAAATATGGATCCATCGGGAGCGGATCCAGAGATGTCAGAAATGGTGGGGGAGATCGAGAGCCTACACAATGCCGAGGACGGCCTTACCCCTCCCCTAGGGCGGTGTTATTTCGCTTGGCCCCATTTTTGTTTCCCTGTCGGATATCTCTGGATCCGCTCCTGCCGGCAGGGGTAAAGGGGCCTTATCCATATACGGTAAATGAAATATTAAATTTAAAGCTAAAATGAAGTTGAATAATTAAAAAAAAAAAATCGGAACCATAGAGGAAAGGTGAGCACACGCATACACATTCACTGCCATGGCATGTGTTTGCACCTAAAAATAGCCAGTCTAATTTTATCATCTGACCTACTTCACTCTTTGCAGTAGTGCGCCCATATTCCTGATGGCGGCGTACAAAGGATGTGTCTGCTTCACCCTCTAGAGTACTGTGGGAACCTGTTTGTGGGTGTTTCTTTCCGATTTTTATAGTTGGTTTCCATGCAACAATAGGCCTTGTGAGTGAAATTTCCTGTTTAATTAATATCAAAAGAGCCATTAACATTGAAGGCTTATAAATTTTATTAAACTATATTTTACTATTTCCATTTATTTGTGTATTTTATAAACGTAATCAAAATATGTATCGACAATGGAAATAAAACAAACAAGAAGATACAAACCATGTGTCTGCTTCACCTCAACATAATGGTTGAAAACGTTTCTTTCTCAAATTATAATCTAGTTAGGAATTTCTTTAGTTAATTTCTATGCAATGAGTTATTTTGTCGGCCTTATGAATATAATACTGTAATATAATTGCTTTATTTTCATTATCACATCATTCAGTATATTTTAATTTATTTTATATATGTATTGTTATAAATAGAACATTTGGTAATGTAAATGGAGACGCAAAAAAAAAAAAAAATAAATAAATAACTAGTGGAAAACTAATCCGCCAAATTAACTCTAAGCCTACAGGTACTTATTTTATAATATCTAAATTTTATTGAAGCATTTATAAATGTGATCCAAATATATATTGTATGGAAACGATAAAAGGAAATGTGTCTCCAAACCAATTTACTCTAAAAAGAACGATAACAAACTCTTTAATAATAATAGTTTAATTAATATAATAATAAAATAATACTAAAAATAATTGCAGTAATAATAATAAATTTAACCACTGAAAATATATCAGTTATTGGCAGCCATTGACTAGAAAATGTAGTTGGCATATTACATCTCATGATTAGAATATATTATATTTAACAATCATCCTGTATTATATTATGTTGTAAATACATATTAATTAGAAAAATTAGCCATTATTTGGAAATATTCAAACTAATTTAACCATTTAAAAGAGAATCCTGTAGTTGTGCATTTTTTTTTAAATTTATTTATTTTTTTTTTATATACTTATCATTTCTTTCTTTTTCTCCTCCCTCCAATTAGGCTGAGCTACTTATAGTAATGTTAAAATTAATATTAGATTACTAATATTAATTTTTATTTATTTTTTTTTTTTATTTTTTTTTTTTTACGAATTTAGTCTTTAATTCTCATTTTCCTTTCTTTCTTTCTTTTCTTTTCTTTTCTTTCTTTTTCTTTCTTGTCTTTCTTTTCTTTCCTTAGCTTTCTTCTAATTTCTTTCCTTGTCTTTCTTTTTATTTGTCATCAATTACATTTCCTTTCGTTATCTTTCTGTTGTTTCCATACACTGTAGCCTAAGTTTCATGTTTAACAAATGGTATACTGCTTAGCCGCCTTGTTCTATTAAAGTATTATTCGCGGCCGCACCATTCATCGAAGCCGAAATGTACATGACAAAAATACCAACTCGGGGCCGAAACAACCCTACACCCTTTTCGACAGTACCGCGCCTGACATCCGAGGTGCGTTTCCGAGGTAAAGCAATGTAAAATATTGTTAAATCTTTGCAATAAACCAACAGTGTAATTAAAATTTTACATTATTAGATAAAGTCATGCAAAATTTCAGAAGGGTACAACAATTTATTGCCAAGTTGCAAACATGCAAACTTTAGCTCTATTTTTCTCGAAAAGTGAAAATTTCAAGTTACGTTGTTTTGCCATGGAACGACCAATTTGTGTCCAGCCCTGATAAAAAGATGCAAATCTTGTATTCTGGTTACATTTAGGGCCTATATTTATATTTAGGAATGAGTTGAGAGTTGAGGGCCTATAGTAGGTTGCCTCTGACTCCAGTGATGGTTGCTTGCTGTGAGGTAAATGAAATAACATTTGGATAGACCTACTGTACTGCTAAAAGTTGAGGCCCAATAAAACAAATTATTAGTTATCACCCTGTCTTGGCTGGAAAAGTGATGAGGGAGGGATGCTTTTTATTTATATTTTTTATTTCTGTAAAACTAAATATCACCTTTGTTGTTTACTGTTGCATAGATATATGATCCAAATATATATTGTATGGAAACGATAAAAGGAAATGTGTGTCCAAACCAATTTACTTGTAACATTTGCATTGTTTCTCTAAAAAGAACGATAACAAACTCTTTAATAATAATAGTTTAATTAATATAATAATAAAATACTACTAAAAATAATTGCAGTAATGTAGCCTAAGTTTCATGTTTAACAAATGGTATACTGCTTAGCCGCCTTGTTCTATTAAAGTATTATTCGCGGCCGCACCATTCATCGAAGCCGAAATGTACATGATAAAAATACCAACTCGGGGCCGAAACAACCCTACACCCTTTTCGACAGTACCGCGCCTGACATCCGAGGTGCGTTTCCGAGGTAAAGCAACGTAAAATATTGTTAAATCTTTGCAATAAACCAACAGTGTAATTCAAATTTTACATTATTAGATAAAGTCATGCAAAATTTCAGAAGGGTACAACAATTTATTGCCAAGTTGCAAACATGCAAACTTTAGCTCTATTTTTCTCGAAAAGTGAAAATTTCAAGTTACCTTGTTTTGCCATGGAACGACCAATTTGTGTCCAGCCCTGATAGAAAGATGCAAATCTTGTATTCTGGTTACATTTAGGGCCTATATTTATATTTAGGAATGAGTTGAGAGGTGAGGGCCTATAGTAGGTTGCCTCTGACTCCAGTGATGGTTGCTTGCTGTGAGGTAAATGAAATAACATTTGGATAGACCTACTGTACTGCTAAAAGTTGAGGCCCAATAAAACAAATTATTAGTTATCACCCTGTCTTGGCTGGAAAAGTGATGAGGGAGGGATGCTTTTTATTTATATTTTTTATTTCTGTAAAACTAAATATCACCTTTGTTGTTTACTGTTGCATAGATATACAAGGTAAAGTACATGATTGAGATAATTTAACTAAGTTACTAACAAAATGAAAAATAAATTTATGGGAAAAAAAAATGTTATTAAATTTTTTTTTCTGAAATGTTTTTAGAATACTTGCAGGTGAGGGAAATAAGTTAATTATTTTTTTTATCAGGCCTTAGGCTTCCAGAACATCAGAACTACAGTAGTTTGCATGCTGTGATCTATGATTTTCAAAAATCATTCTTAATAGCATAACATGTACCGTACTGAAATGTGCTAATGAAGGAAACATTAAGTTAGCTGCCTAGACATTGTACAGAAATATAAAGAATGATTGTACTGTATTCAACTATGTTTGATGGACATAGGTGATAATGTTTGTAATGTTAATAGTTAACCATTCAAAATGTATTATGAGTATAAATATTATTGGTATCATTATACTAAATGCTAGTAAATAGATTTGACGTATTATTTGTCTCCCTTTATTTAAAGAAATACCGTCTGTGGTGAAATCTCCAAAAAAAAAAACAAAAAAAAAAAATTTGCTGTATTGGAATCTAAAAAGATACTGGGTATAAATATTATTATAATTTCATCACCTTAAAATAAAAGCACCAATTTAGTAACTGCTAATGAATCACACTTCCAAGCAATTGCTAATAAATCACACATTCAAACAATTTTGTATGTTTTTTTTTAATGTTTGAATTAGTTACAAAACAAGCCAATTCAAAAAGAATATTGAAAATTGGTATAATATGTACAGTAAACACTAATTGGTAACGAACAGTTTTTTTGTGTCGTTCTAATTTTCAATTAACAAAGCATTTACATAGCACAAAGTAAGCTTTAAATAATATTACCAGTATTTATTTTATTTTTTGTTCAAGTTGAAAGATCATCACTACCGTTCTTTTTTTATTTTTCATGAGAAGCATCCGTGATTGTCACATACAACAGCTGTATTAATATGACATTCTGTCAACCAAATACCAAGACAGGAACTTTATTTTTTTGTGGCATAATGTTAAGCCATTACTATCTCATACCTACTCTATCAATGCCCTGACCAACCCTATTGATTAATGCCTCTGCTGCCAAATGTTTCCATCTGATTTTACTGAAGTACTGTACGTTTAATACATTTAATATGGATAGCTGGGAAATACAGTATTATTTTTTACGTAAAGTTAACTTACTGTATTTCCATTTAAATTTAATTGCAGGTTTTTATTGCAGTTTTTTCATGCGTATCTTTGGTTTTCGATCTTATTGACATTTTTTCTTACTTATCTTTGCTTTCACATCTTATTGCAGTTTTTCAAATTTCTTCAGTTTCATCAGCTCAGAAGGACCCCCACCTTTAGTGGATTATCCTTGGTGTGATTCACACAAAGGTTACACTTGTCCTGACCATAAATCTAATGAATGATTTACATTTTATTTTGTTACTTTCTGTAATGAAACAAATTATTTCATGACAATCACTAACCTGCCGATTTCTCAATACAATAAACAAAAATAAAGGTAGCTATCCTATGTTCCACAATATGAAAATTGATGGGTGTGAGATAATTAGCAGTAATCAAATTAAGACTAAATTGCAGTGATTATTACAGTTATTGCACACAGGAAACTTTTTAGAATTATCCTGATCAGTATTGCTTATGAATATGTATGAATTCCATAATGATATGCATGAGTCACTGCCATTGCAGTAATGAAACTGTGGCACGGATTTTAAGTACAGTATTGGCTATTACAGTAATAGGAAGTCTTTATTGCTTGTCATGTGATCAGCCTAAGAGCTTTTGAGACAGGTCGCTTCAGCGTTAGTTAGAAAAATACATTAGTCATGAAAACAACTACATTATACTCAGTTGAGTTTGTTTTCATGCAAAGGTGATAGAAACAGCTTTTGGAAGGGAGGCGTATTTAAGGTATTTTTTTTTTATCAATTACAATATTTTTGATAGGATTATTGTTTTTAAGTTTTGTCTACACTATCAAATTTCATCAAAAAAAGCATCACATAAAATTTTATGAAACATAGAGTTGAACATGTTGAACTTTTTTGATACAATTTGATGGTATGTGATATGATGTCATCGTACCCATATATGGGCACATGACATTTTTTTGTCAGATAAAATTTGATAGTGTAGACAAAGCTTTACAGTAGGTTTTTGTTGTTTTATGTTTAAATATGATTATTTAAACATTGCCTCAGTGGTTCAAAATTATTATATTATTATAAAAATATCAGTTGTTTATAGTTTAAATTCATCATTCAACTTTGTGTTGATGGTTCTTTAAATGATCAGTGTAGTACCACTGTAGTTGCAGTTAATCGAAAAGCAACCATTGTTATTTTTTTAAATAATAGCATGGTGACTGTAGAAATTACCAACCATGTTTGTTTTTCTTTTACAGTTAAGTCTTAGATGTTGGCAGTCACAATGCCACAACGGAGCCTGGTGTGGCCATTCCACTGGTCACCACTGATGGCTGATAAAATATTGATACCATTGGCTATGGATACAGAACTCACTAGTGGATCATCAGTGGACAATGAGAACACCACTTTGTCCCAATTGCTAGATGAATTCCAAGAGGATGAAGAAACTAGCATGGCTCCTCTGAATGGCATCTGTGACACAGAAAAGCTCATCTCAGTCCCATTCTTAAATGGAAGTATGGAGATGAACAATGACATTTTGGATCTCTCAAAACCACTTCAGATTGAAGGTCTGCAGCATGGCATCTCTAGCATGAGCCTTGATAGTCTAAATAATGATACTTTCGTTGATGCTTTAGAAGTGCAATCAGAAGTGGATGATCCATGCTTAAGTGGGATGTCAGAATTAAACTCATGTCCAGATGGTGATGTTGAAACTGAGAAGGATGAGCTCAAAGGGAAGGACCAGCAAATACTGAAAAAAATGGACAGTCCTAACCATGATGGTAGAAATATTGACAATGAGTCTGAAACAAAAAGACAGCTTCCATTAGAAACTGTTGGATCTGACTCCACCACGGTGTCAGCTCTCTCAAGAAGTCCAGAGAGCTACACAACATTATACAAAGCATTTGAGATTGCACAAGAGGAATCAATTGGCACTGACCACTGTGACAAACCAAAGGAATCTACACTTGATATACTGAACAGAACCTCACCAAAACTCCAAAGAGTTGCTGTAAGGAAGGCAAAGATCAATCCAGGTAATCCACCTATTGCCATTGATAATCCTGTTGTCATTGATCAGAAACAAGTGGTTAGAACTCCTCAGAAACTATCACATTTGCAAGATTCCAGTTTAAATTTAACTTGGAAAAATACAGGTGATGGCCAGACTGTGACAACTTTTGCAGACATTTTGCAAAAGAAGGGAACCCCAAGTCCTAAAAGTGAAAAGGCTATGAACATAGCAAAAAGCAATGGTATACACTGGACAGAATTGATGCAGGAGAAGAGTGACTCTGAGACAGATTGTATTGTTCGACGTATACGGAAAACGAAGAGAATCCCTAGGCCTAAATCTCTGCCAATACAACTTAGACATATTCGAAGGCCAGCATCCAGACCACTCAAAACTCCTGAAAATAAACAAAGCAAAGCGTATATAGATTTTCTTCAATCACACGGTAACATGAATGTGACTGGTGAAGATGAGAAGTGTAAGTATTATGACATAATAATCACCAATTAACAATCATTTAGTGAAAATTTATAGATTTTATAATTTAAGCAAACATAGATTGTGCTATACTGTAGCATTGGAAAATCAATTAAAATTAATGAAAATTTGTATTCAATTTAGGATTGCATTAAAGCAAATAATGTATTTTGCATTTAAATTAATAAATTCTTGGTAAACTACTGTAACACTTCTGTATATTCTCATGTATAAGGTGAGGTTTAAAATAGCAAATCATGAACAATAAACATGGGCTATTTTTATATGCACAACACATTTTTTATTTTTAAATTTTTCATCCTACTGTACTGTGGATAGTCTCTTACACTCAAATTTGCTACTGAAATGAAGATAATAACTGTTAGTATGAATAAACTTAATTTTAAATGCTGGGAAAGAAGATTTTGACTAAACATTTAAAAGCCCATAAAATGGTATTTGAAAGATTAGCCCTACATTTGGCTCCATTTGTAACCAGCTAGGTACATGAAGACCATAAAAATTAGGGGGTTGTCTTACAGTATACGCCTGACATACAAAAATCGCCCAGAAATCTCAAAATTGGGGGTCGTCTTATACGTGGATCATTTTACGCAATAATATACAGTGAGTTTTAATTACGTACACAATTCGACAATACAGTGCAATTAGCAATGCATTTTTTAGATTCCATTGTACGGTAATATATGCTATATTTCTATAATTTTTTTGTTTTATCACATGCAATGCAGGTTTACTGTTATTAATTTAATTATGTCAAAGACATTTTATTTTTCTGCTTTCTTTTTGTTTAATTTACTCTTTCGTTATGTGAATTTTGTTTTACATAGCCACATAGGTTTGTGTACGTGTGTGTGGGACGGTGCTTGTGCATTTGTGTGTGGCCGTGTGTTACAGAATTAGTGTAAAATGTTAGGAAATGATTCTTTAATACTAAGTTGACAACATCTGATTATAATTCAAATCTAAATATAATACTTAGCCACAAATGAACGTATAAATTCACCAACCCAAATTTACCGCAAATACAGGGCTTGTTGTAAATATGTCACTCATAAGGCTATGAACCACAGAGTTTACTGCATTATTAAACCCATGCTACTTATTAATTAAGCCACAGAGTAGCACAGAGTAGAACTAAACTATGACCAAATTTGTGAGTAATACCCTTGCAACTAGTCACAAGATTGCTGTTATTATCCAGACTATCCATAAAAAAAGTTAACAATACTGTAGATGAAAAACCCCCAATGTTTTATATACAGTATTACAATACCGTAAAATTTCCATAAACCGCGAAAGCAATAACTGCATTACTACTGTATATAAAAAGTACAGGATTCTATAGCATAGTAATTCATGTGTTTCTACTGAACAGTAGTTCATTTCAACACAATACCCAAAAATAAAATAAAAAATTTGAAAATTTTTGGAAGGTCAAATAATAAAATTAAAGCAAGAAATGTACATTAAATATTAAGATGTAATCATGATCAGGATTATTAAAGATTTTTTTACATTTCATTTTTTTTTTTAAAGGCAAATGGTATTATTAAACATGAATGATCACGGAAAAGCATATCGGACATACCTTTAAATTGCAAAAAAAAGGGGGGAAAAATATAAATAACAATTATTTAGTTATTAGTTAAGTGTTTTATATTTTAATATTTGACATTTTAACATCATTATAATATGTACAGACAATGTTACAAAAATAGCAACTATTTGTATGAATATTCATTCCCAAAACCAGCATATTGTGCAACATTTAACGGAGTAATTAGCATGTAGATTATAAAAGTACCAGTATTGAAATGACCAATTGTTTTGAATATGTTTAGAATGAATTTTTTTTTTCTCCATGGATGCTGGTTTTATGATAGTGAACCTCATTAGAAAACGAGACCAAATCCGAGGAAATTCACTTGGTAAAAATAATGAACTAACTATGAGACCATTTAAAAAATAAAAGCCAGATTCCAAATATTGATTTGCAATGCCTCTAAAGTGGAAGTCATGAGTGTCACTGTTTTTGTTCACCAACTGTAAAAAATGTCGCACTTGCCTTCCATCTGCTCAATCCAATATGTTAGAGGTTGCACACCTGTCATTTGTGTTGCTACTATTGCTATTTATTTTTATCTGCAGGTACTGTACTGTACTGGTATGCAATGTGCCTTTCTTTTCTCCGTGGTTTAATATAGTCTGATGCTGTTATGTTATCTTGGCAAAGTATGCTATTTATTTTATCACTGCCAAACATACCATGGTAATTTTCAACCCATTCTGTTGAATCTCATCTCTTAAAACATGTTTATTTTGCTTGAGGTGGCAAATGTATAGATCTGTTAATTTTTATCTAAACTACAAGGTAGATTTGATTTTATCTCTGCCCATAAATGTTAATTGCAATTGTACCATCCATTTTTTATCAGAATTCTAAGAATATTTATTTGTTTGGTTCCATAACATTTAAAAAATGTATTGGTTTAATTTCACAATTTCATCTGATGCAAAGTCTTACTGAAATTCTTTCCAACATGGAAATTGTTTTATCCTTTATCAATTTTTTGGCTAGATTTCATAATATTGGGACAAATATTGAACAAAGGCAGTACATTAATTTACTGTACTTATGCTATTTTGGATATTCTGTATCTGTGTAATGCCTTGAAAAACAAACATCATGAAATTCCAATTTTGTGATCAACTCTCAAACATGTACAGTAGCTCCAATAATACTACTGTATAATAGACATACTTTATAGGACATTTATTATTAAATTATAACATGTATAGAGGTGACTATGCTAAAAAGCATTTTTTTTTTGCATGACATGACTAATTTGTAAGCAATTGTCTTTTGATTTAAACATCATTTTTAAAAATACAGATGTCAGACTGAATATGAATGATCAGATTGTCTAAATAAAGACTATAAGAGTAATGTATTGCCAGAAAAAGAAACAAATTATTTTATAGATATTAACATCAGACAATGCTTTTGAATAATTCAGAACAATCTGACGGGATGCCTTGCTCTGGAGAGATCACAACTAGATCATGCTATGCATGCATTATAAATTCATTTCCATTTAAACAATGAAAAGCTTTACTTTGTTAAATCAATTTCCTCTCGACATCATTTCCCAACATACTGGGACTTGAAAACACAGTGCTTATCATCTTTGCCTTCTCTCCATATGTTGCAAAGAATTGTGAATATTTTCTGTGCCAAGAATAGGAAATAAACATGCAATGCGACAGTTCTAAAATAATTTTTTAGATAAAAGTATAAGTTGCAGGTGGCAAATATGATGTGTTTTCAGGCATTTTAAGTTAAGGTTGACCGATGAATGATTGAATTAATTTCCTTAAAAATACCCAGTTTTATTTAAAAAGAAAACACAAAACAGTTTATTTTTAAAAAGATGTATTTTCTTAATTTTCTGTCAACTATACAAAATTTAAAATGTAATACTTAATAATCATAGTAAAATCTTCTATATTATATAACCTAGGTACCAAAAAGAAGAGCTAGGCCTACAGTATGCTTTGCACTCTCCATGGTCCCCGAACCCCCTGAACCCCCTCTGGATCCGCCACTGTATTTTATCGATATTCCACAGTTTAATATCTGAAAATACCTAACATTTTTTTCTTCTCTCCTACGGAATGTGTTTTCTTTCCCAACAGAGGACAGAGCTCTCTTCAACAGGCCCCTCCCCCATCCTGACTGGTGTCGTGCCACACCCGATAAAATGTGATTGCACACATTGTTCCACACACATAGAAACAAGCAAGAAATATATTAAACTTGTTTAAATAACAAAATGAAGGATTTTTTATTTTATTTTTATTTGCAAAATATTTATTCAGGATTTTCAAGGTCTTTTGTTATTGTACATTATAAGGATGAATGTCATCCATTGAATAAAAAAAATAACAAGTCATAATTTTAACTACAGCAACATAAACTATGACATGGCATTTTGAATTCCAGGCATTTCATAGGAATGTTTTTTCATACCATTATTTTTAAAGAATTTGTCAATATAGAATTAGCATTGCACGCAAAATATCAGAACAGCTATAAAGTTCATTAACAAAATACTTTATAGATAAACTTAATTAAATGTGTTCATTAAATTATAAAAAGGTACAGTATAATATTATTTGCTTTTAATTCCTTTATACAAAGACAGGATACAATTACAAAATTTGACTGTACAGTATCCCCATAATGTAGGCTCTAATATACATGGCTCCATGTTGTCTATTTCAAAATTGCTGTACAGCAGGGGTGGGCATAAACATCAGTTGGAGGGCCAAAGTGAATTTTTTATTTAACACCGAGGGTTGCACCCAAACTTCGATATTTACAGTGTGCTCCCAAAAAACCTTCATGCACTGCTTTTATACCACTTTATTCTCAGTTTTAATATTACTTTTTACAGATGATCGGTGTCGGGCTGTAAAAAAATAAGCTGTTTTTTAGTCCAAAATGTTTAGCCGGCCGCACATACAGTATAAGGTTTTTAATTCATTTTCGTGGACTGAAAAAAAAATTCAATGTTGGGCTGCACTTTGCCATCTGTGCTGTACAGTATTTTATGTAATTTTCTAGTCCACGTTTCCATACATTGTACAATAGAGTTGTGGATTCAGGAATTCGAAATAGACATGCCCCGTGGTGAAAATTTTACAGAGAGGGTCCAGATTACCTAAACACCACCATGGTTGGGAGTGAGGTACAACATGATGTCTATGGCTGAAAATCACACTCATTGGCGGATCCAGAATTTTTCAAACAGTGTGGTGTGGTGGGGCACAACACTCAGAATAGGTATTAAAATGAGTAGCACTAATTTCAATATGTGATTGTGACATTGAAATTAAGTGGCCATGTCCCCATACTAGATCTGCCCATGACACTTTCAAGGTCAGATTTGAATGCATGTTTCTTTTTCCCCAAATTGTTTTAATTTTCAAGAATTTGGTGGCAGGGCCGGAGGGGTGAAAGCCTACTTGCTCTTTTAAATGCACCTCTGCTGTACAATATTGATTACCACATTAGTGACAATACTGTAAAACCAGGATTGTACAGTAATGCCACTTCATTTTAATTTTATCCTGTAATATGTGGTTACAAGATTATTGTGAGATTCGGGAGATCAGTGAGCGCGCGTTTTCATCAATCGATTGTTGACTTCCACCGATTGGCGCAAGTTCCCGTATTAATTTTCCAAAAGCATCTTGGAAAGTATTCGTTAATATACAGTACATACTGACTACTGTAATTATTACACCAGGATTATAATAGTGGTGTTTATAAAGATTAAGATCAGTTACTGTGTAAGGTACAGTACAGTATTTCGTAGATTCATACCCTGTAAGCCATACCATTCACCATGAAATCCTTGAAACCAATATTTACACTTTAGTGTAAATAGGAAGTCACTTCCTGTGAAAGATTCCTGAATGCATTGTTCTACAAATAATTATTTTATTTGCATAGTGTAATAATTATTAAATAATAATAACTTTATTTTGAAATCTACACCTTTGCATAGTGGCAAACAGTATGCAGTGTGTTCACAATAAAATAATTTAATTCACTTAAACACAGTACAATAAAAATCACAATTTCAAAATGAATGAAAATAAGAGACAATAAAAAATTATCAGTTAAACTTTAAGAAATCAGTCACTCTGTATCAGTATTCCTACAGTATTGAGCTTTACAGTTTAGTTACATAAAAAGAATTTTTGTACAGTTACTGTATTATTGCACATGGGAAATGTGCTAATTAAGTTGATAGTGCCAGGTACAATATATTGTTTACAGTGCATACATATTAATTTTCACCTCGCTATTTCCTATTCTGTTATTAAAGTCATATTTATCTGTAAAAGCTAATTAGCTCGAAGACACATCATTATCAACCCCTGTGACCTACTAATTATTAAATCATCTCTGTGTTTCGTTATAAAATATTAATTAACGAGAACTAATTAATTAATAGTTAACACTATAAAACAGAGTATTCCTGCAAAACCAAATTGAGAGGTTCATTATTTACAGTTTAGCATATAACAGTACAGTAGTTCCAAAATGAGTTGTGGAAACACAGAGTCAAATTTTTTTTGTTCTCTTAATAGCAAAATAATTTTGCCAAAAGCATCTACTGTAGGTCGTGGGAAAAAACAAAAATAAAATGTTATTGATGAATTTGTGGAAGTATTAGTAATGAGACTGATAATGCCTTAAATAGTTCAGATTTTAAGAAAGAAATATGGAGGGCAGTAGTAAAAATGAATATAACAAAAACATTTTTTTCTGAAATTTCCATATTTCAGGGCGAAGGGTGCGAAAAAAATTTTTTATTTTTGTTCGAAATCACATTTATTAGCGGCCTTAGGGTTTGCTAAACATAAAACTGAAGTCTTGTCTCAATACTCGTAAATAAAGGCCTTTCATTTACATGGTGAATGATATCTCTTGTGTGAGTCAGATCCCATAATGCCTTGCAATACAAGATTGGCTGCAATAGATTGACAGCGCTTGCAAATATATTGATCAGCCTGAGGCAATTATGATAATGCTCTATGTACTGAATGCTTAAAAAAGCGCTGTGCTGTACTTGATGATTTTGCAGGCTGGCTTTTAGTGGGCAGTTAATGAGAATGTAGAGAATCAGTGATAACAAGATGTCATCGTGTGCATTGGTAATGAGGCTGCACTGAAGTGAAAATGTATACAGTAATAAGATACAGATGTAATATCTAGAGCCCCTTGTGATATAATATAATGTACTGTAATGATGTAAACTGTAAATAAATTACATGAAGTTATATTTTTCAAGACATAACTACATTCATTTGATTTAAAATACAGGTTTGTAAAATATACAAAATTTGGATATTATATAAAATCCAATAAAAGTATTTTTCTAGTTAGAAATTTTATATTGAACATTTTATTAATTTGGGAATAATTTAAAATGAATGGGGCCCTTAAGCCGGGCAATCACTGTGCCCGATGGTCATCAGCTTATGCGATACTATAGAGAATGCAATGCTATGACATGCACGCAATGAACTGTTTTTAATGACTATCCAGTCAGACTGCCACAAACTACCAGCAGACTAGTGTTGTGTTACCTAGCACTCACAGGAGACTGAGTTGGATGCGTTGTACTACCGTTGTACAATGCACTGAGGACGTTCCCAGATGGGGGTTAATATTAATGTTTGTTATCAATACTTTTTTCTTATGATTATGATGATAGTTATAATATTAAACAGAGCCTGTATTCTCTAATCAATATGAGGATGAGTAAGATATAAATTTGAGGTTAGAGCATTAGTTAGGGTGAATGAATTCTAAGGACCTCCAGTTGCTCGTAAACATGATGTCCTTTTTATAAACATCCTGGAAAAAATTAAAACATAATCAACAAACCAACCAAAGTCAGCAAAGTCAACAAGTCAGGGTTGCTAGAATGACATGCTTTTGAACCAGCGAATCATCTCTGTTTAAAACTGACATAATTCATTAGCAGTTGGAGTCATTAGCAATCTGATTTTTTTTCCCCAACACATGGTGTATTACAAGGCAGTTTTTAAATAACTTATGCCCTGGTTATGATAAATACAGTAATTATTGAATCAACATTTGCACTTTGTTTTTTTTAAATATATTTTTCAATTTCATAAAATAATGCATGTTTTTATTTTAATAAACGATGCTCTGCTATGCTTAATAGGCTTTTACACAATGTACATATAATTTTAAAGGGGCTTAATATAATGTCATCACATACAGGTAGATGGGATTGTATTTTTGTTGTGAGAATGACACTCTGACATGCCCAGGGTTGAATAATGACACAGGGATTCAAAGGTTGCTGCGGTACCTCTCCCCACTAATTATTCAAATATTAACTCATAAATATATTTTGAAAAGAACAATAAAGCTTTGCTAATTACAGTAAAGAATAATTTTATCCACATAACACTCTTCCCTTTTATGAGGGCACTTGTAGTAATTCTAATGCATTATTGATTAAAGTACTCAGTATTATTACGTATTGTATTGCTCTACAGTAACTGTAGTTTTAAATACTCTAGAGAGCTAAGTACTGTATGTATGTTATGCTCTGTCCACACTCTTATCTTTTATGTGACAAATCTGTGTAATGTAGCTATATATGGGCATGATGTAATTTTATTACATTAAAATATGTTCATCTTGCATAATTTATTGTCACATAATATTTGATAGTGCAAACAGAGCTTTACTGCACAGTACTTATCTTTTCATACTTAATCCCTAAAAATATTAATTGTCTCTAAAGTCATTTTGTACTTTAATGATGGTGGTTGTTGATGGTTATTCATTTATTTCTCCTTTTTTATTCCATTTTTTGTTCGCAGCTATTCTTAAAAACAGCACAGGTTCTATCCTTGTTTTCTGGCCTAGCAGATAGATCTACATCTGCAGTTTTGCAGGTGATGTTTTGTGTGACATCACAGTCATACAGATCAGCAAGATCAGTATTAAAATAAAATTAGATGTACTAAGGAAGCTCATTCAAATAGATCTCACAGAAATGACTTATTTATTCCAACTTGGGACCTCGTTACTTTACATAGGTAAAGAATAAATCATGTTTAAGCCTGTCTTAAAATTATACTGTAGCCATCCTTAATTTATCATACATTCAATATTATTTTGTACTTTAGGCAATTGTTGAGTAAACAAGTCAATATCAGTCTTTATAAACAAGTAAAGTTTAGAATGACACAAGAAAATTCAGACATACTGTACCCCAAGGATTACCAAAAGCATAACACAAGAATGTAATTCTACACTACTGCTCAAACTTGCACCAAACAACTAATCCATGACTTGACCAAAAATCCATTTTTTGGTTAAAAATTGGACAATTAAAGAAGAAAAGCAAAAATTTATTAATTTAAAAATATAAATTATAATTGATTCAATAAAAAGAAACATTTTTACATTGCAAAAATTACAGTAGAAAATATGACCCAGTTGTTTTTAATCAAATTTCAGAAAATTTATATGACATTTTAAATTTTAATAAGCATTTGTAACTAAATGTAAAATATGCTTAGACTAGGAATTGGTGAGGAGTGAGGTGACTGCTAGTTTTTATGGTTGATCTTTAACACTGAATGTACTTACTGTAGAAGTACTGCCTTGTTGTTATTTTGAAAACCCTCCAGTTTAAAGTAGGATATGAACCTGTAGTTTATAATTATAATTGTTTATTGTTGTAGTTTTCTTTGTTGCTACACTCATGTATTCTATTTTTATGTACTGGTAAATATGATTTCTGTTGGCTTCTATACTTGCTTTATTTATGGTTTGGTATTATTTCATGCCATTATATCACTTGCAATGCTTATTTTATTAATTTTTTGGATATCATTTTAGATATACAGTAACAACAACATCCAAAAAAAAACAATAATTTTTTTAACTGAATATTGTCATTATTCTGTCAATATGATTTCAGTGTTTTGGTATTTTTGGGTTGTGTTTCTTTAAAGTAAAATCACTTCTCATGTTTTTAAAAAAAAAAATTTCCTTTGATTCACATCTAGCTTTGGCAGTGATTTCTTCTCACCAATCAGCACCCACCCCAGTTGCTATGGATACACATACATCACCATCATGTTCACCACCATCGTTGTCCTCTCTTCCATTTTACCTGAAAAGACCAATTTGCTGCAATAACACTTCATTAACTATGGACTTACATCTCAGAGAAGCACCAGATGGTCTTAGTGAGTCTCCCAACAACAAGCTGAATCTTCTGACCTCAAAGAAAGAAGAAGACAAGATAATTATCATTAATGATAATGTAGATATTAATGCAAATCTGAGCCCAAAAAATCATTTAGTGAAAGATGAAAGAAGTGATATTTTTTCATCCGATTCGGAAAGTGAAGAAGAAGTAAGTGATACTTCAGAAGATACTGCTTCTCCTATTGATTTTGAGACTGATATTTCCAAGAATATAAAGTGCAATGGCCAATCAGAAGGATTGTTACTTAACAGCGATTATGACTGGGTAAGTCTTGAGTCGGTGTTGAACCCATCATTCTCTTTGGATAATCAAAATCAAAAAGAAATAAAGGCAACCCCTCAACCTGTGCAAGAAGTACATCAAGCTACTTACGACAGCAATGGAAATTCCTTGAGTAAGCTTATGCATGACAAAAGTGAGGACATCAGATTACCTGTAAATGATAATGCAGATAAGAAGTTTTATCAGCAGTCAGAGGATCACACCAACTTCTGGCTAAATCAAACTTATAATGGAAACTCTGATAAAAAAGATACACATTTGGCAAATAATCATTGGAATAAATTTGATTACGTAGATGCAGAGGAGACATTTCTACCATTGGAACCTCTTCCAGATTATGCAGAAAGTGAATCTATACAACCATCCCACATCACCACTAGATGTTTCTCTGACACGCTGTCATCTCCATCAGAGTTGGATGCAGATGCTGTCTTTTGTGACGATAATGAAAGCTTTTACCTAAGCCTTCCACCAAGTCATGACAATTCTATTATATCATCGTGCTATAGTAAAGAGCATTCCAAAACTTTGAATTCCAATGGAGGCACAGAAACTTCCTCCACAAGCCTTTCATCATCCCTTTCGTCACTGGCAGAGCTTCATGCCTGCAAGCACACTGGCGCTTCCGACTCAAGAAGTAACATTCCATTGCTGAAGAAAGGTGATGGTGCAAGAAATCCAACAGTGGCAAATGAAACTCAAACCGATTACATTTGCTACAGACCAATGAGAAAACTCTCTGAAGCCAGATTCCTGAAACATAATCTCCAAGACCCTGCAAAAGATAACAGACACTTGAAGCAGTTTATACCGGGTAAATTGATCGCACCCGCTCAGAAGTCATCAGTGATATCCCATCCTGAATCTGCAGTCAAACCAGCTCAAAATCGAAATCCAAGATTGATTTATAAGTTACTTGAACAATTGAAAGAACAAGCAGCTGAATTAGAACTAAAAAGGTTAAAGAGAAATTCTAAATTCCCTGTATCAAGGCAGGCTACTAATATCCGTGCTGCTCTCAAAGGAAAAGAAGCAACATCGACACATGAACTCAACCATCATACTGGAAAATCAAGAGGAAATACATCCCAAGAATGCTCTCAACTTCTTGAGAATACTATTCAGTACATTAACCATCGACCATTAAAACCTATTCATGTCGTAGATGCAGACTACCGTTGGAGAAAAGGTTTGAAGTATTTGAAGTCTTTTACTGTAACTAACATGCATGGTCTTGGGGGTCGTTATTCTCAGTTCTGCATGAATTGTTTTAAATTTTTTTGTGTTTTTTTCATTTTCACTAGCGATTCAGGTGCATGATTTTTGAATCTGTTTTTTCATTTTGGCCATGGCTTTGTGACTGCTTTATCTGTGTTAAATCATCTTTTGATTTATTGTTGTAGAGTTTGTTAGATTATTTAGTGTCGCATTCTTAACTGATTGCTGTTGTGTTTGTGGATAAACAAGGCATGCAATAAGCAATTACTTCAAGTACTGTAAACATTGCTCTGTTTTCATTTTCTATGTTGATTTGATGTGTAGTGTAGTTAAATATGCTATAAAACTTTCATTTTCTCAATTACTACTTTAAAATTATGCCTACAGAATATTCCTTTTACAGCAAATAATAATCCTGATTAATTTCATATAGCTAGAAAAAATTGTACTCCTTTTCTTCACTGCCACTCTCACTCAAAAACCCTATGCCCCTTATTGTATGGATGATATCAATAAAGTCTAGTTATTTTAATTTTTAATTTTTTTTATATATTGTTCATATAATTGAATTTTTCCAAATACATTGAATTCATCTTTCACTAGCTTCCTTTCTTAGAGGATATTGCTTTTTGGCTGGTGTCAATGCATAATATATTCTCACGTGTGGCCAAGGTCAGTCTTTAGGAAGATTTATCAGTCAATCTCCTCTATATTGATATGTCCATCAGGTTATTCATCACTTCCCTTCATACCTATCAACAGAAGGACAACTATTTTCTTGTTTAATTCACAATAATAAACACAACCAGTAGCATAAAACAAAAAGTACAATCTAAATTATCGGGTGACTACTGAATGATGCTTTAAGTTTAAAAGGCTTAGATCTTGAGGCTTAAGTCAGGTACAGGTACACACTGCACCTATAAGTTGTTGGCCGACATGACATGGAGAATTTGACGACTGTGCAACAAATAGAATTGTTAATGATGATCCTCACATAATACCGTTGACAATCAGCAAACAGCGTTGCCTCGCCAAGTGCTCACAGAGAAAGTGGAGATGGATTTGTTAGGCAACGGTCGTATGAAACAGTCTGTGCCCAGCTTTTACAGATTGTAGTAGTATAGAATTTGTCTTAAGCCCCAGTCCTGATTATCAAATTTTATTTGACAAAAAACATGTGACATGCCTAAATATGGTAATGATGACATCACATTATAGGCACATCCTACCTGTACATGGATATCAGTACAGGATTTGAACCAATGAACTAACATTGAAAGTAAGCATCTTAACAATCGTTAAACTTTAATATAATGTTGCCAAATACCATCAATAATTTATTTATCTATTATACTCAAACTTTGTTTAAAAAATGGAATTAACATACAATTTTTGTTAAAGTCTTGTGACTAGTTACTGTACTTTGCATTTTAATATCAGGACATACACAATTAATACAGATACACCCAATACATGATATCAATCGAGTATCATTTCAATCTACTGATTGTAAGATAAAAATACTGTGTTGAGATGGTTATGAGGGGCATACAGTATTAGGATTATTGAATTAAAACAATTAATTCCAAATTAAAATACAATAAGGCTATTATACAAATAATATTTTTGGGTTGGTAACTTTTTTAACAAAAATAAAAATTTTCAAATAAATATTTTTTTTACAGTTTTAAAATTGTCTTGAAACTTTAAACTATAAAGAATTTATTATTACAAATTTATTGAATAATGGATAATGTTGCTATTCTATAAATATTACAAAAAAGTATGTTTTCAAATAATATAGGTAACTCTAACAATATTGAAATTGTTTAAATGAATATTAATTTTCTTGTATTTTAACATTTTGAGTATACTGTGGAAAGTTTAAACTTTTATAATCAATATATTACAAATTTATCAAAGAATAGATAATGTTGCTATTCTATAAATATTACAAAAAATTGATATAAATGTTAATACAAACATTGTAAATCATTAATGCAATTTAATCAATGACTGCTATCGATATCCTCAATCAAACATTAAACGTGCGGATTGCCTTGCGGTCAAAATCCTCAACATCTGTCGCAACATCGTTTCATCATGAAACAATTTTTATTTTTATTAATGTATTTGCAATTACAGGATTTAGTATTTCCTAATTTTCACTTTTATTAATTATTAGAAAATTATATAAATGTTGTTTACTGTAAGGTACTTTGTATGCTGTGCATAATTCCTTAGGGGTCGTTCACAATTATAAACATTTTCGCAAGTGTTCAGAGAAGGTACTCTTTTTTGGTACCCCTTCTCTCACCTCTGAAAGTGTAAAAAATGTGAATTTCACAAAACTATTCTCTATTTTTATGTAATGATAAACTGAAGTACTTACTTGGTTACATAAAATGTCTAATTAATTCATGGTTGTTGGTCATAAAAATCTATTATTTTGAATATTGCTTATTATTTTGAATTTTAATGCACATGTAAACATGTGCGAATGTATCTACCCCCTCCCTCCTAGCGTACTGTTTGTACATTTGTGGAAATGTTGATAATTGTGAACAACCCCCAATAGTGGAATGCTACAATATAATATATTACATGTTACTATTTATCCTCCTTAAGTATCTTAGTTTTACAGATACTTTCATTCATTTGTTCCATCACAAATTAACACTGTGCATAAAATTCATGAAATTGACAAGCATAAAAATTTAATATTATAATATGTTAAAAATAATAAAAAGTTGATATAAATTATGTTTAAAAACTATTACAATTTTTAAGTATTAATAGTTTCTGAAAATTTAGAGTTTACTACATAACTATAAATGAATTACTATCCAATTTCAGAGCAATGCATTAAGAAATATAGAAATGAAACATACCTGGTACTGTAAATTCCAAAATTTCATTTTTTTTTTTTTACTTCATTAGCTTAACATAAACAGTATGTCTTTAACAACTTATTGATAAATACTAATTTTCAAGAAATACCCTTAAAACATCCTTTAAATAAAATATACTGTAATATATTTGATTAACTATTCAGAATTATTAATAATAATATCCCTGTATTCAGTATACAATATGCTCTAAATGATGCATACTGTACAATTATTTCTTACCTAGTGTCAGTTAAATGTAATGCTGAGATGTAATATTTGTCTGGTTGAATTATGATAATATAATTGTGTCGATACCGTTTTTAAAACGTGACCTGTTCGTACCAGCGTATTATCGCCTCTGTGCACGGGACACAGGATTAGCCGTGCTTGCGTCATCTTCCTGTGTCGATTATGCAGCCTCTCCCCATGGATTCTAAACAACCATCAAATCAGCTTCTCATATTATATTCCTCACTTTTGAGAATTAGGGGATCAGGGATTGTCTTAACAAATTTGTGTTATAAAAAGGACAGTTATTTAAGTATATTTTCAATAAGTTAAAGTATAATAGAACCAAAATGGTTTTTCCATTTTAAAACAAAAACAATTATCTTTTTATAGAAAAATATATTTTTTTTTAAATATGAAAACAAAATGTTATTTGTTTTGTCATTTTTATCAACCCGGACAAGGATTAAACGATCTTTCATATTTGTACGATGTTCATGTATCAACATTGCTATAATCATAATGCTGTATGTTACGGTTAGGCCACCGAGCGATCTTCATTTGTAGCCTCACAATCAAACAAATAGCACTGAGACATCTGCTTTACTACGTACACTATTTCTTTAATTCAGTATGTACAAGTTATATACAATCACATTCAAATTATCAGTAGGATGCCTCAGCACCAAATGTTTGCTGTACGCTACTGTATAAAGCTGAACAGTTTCTCTGCAATCCCCAAAAATTCATCTAAGGTAATGCGTAATACCTCTGACTTCCGGTAGCGCAGTTGCACACTTTTGCAGCCTTGGATGAATAGTACCATAATTATGTGTTGTTCAATAATAATTTCGATAATACCGAATATCCATAGATTCTAAGAGCCAAATTTTTTGTAATGAATATTCGTCACCAATAAGCAGTAACAATGACATTTATACAATGACAAAATACTGTAGGTTACAACTAGGGAGCCAGATGCCTGAACACACTGGTTTGTTTTGTAAATGTATCCCACAAGGATTTCACTATGTATTTTATGATTAAATTAAACATCTGTTGAGTTGGTGCTTGTCTATCGCTCAGTAAAACCATTTACAGTATTTAGGATATGAGTAATTTCGGTTGGTTACAGTTACTCAGAAATTATCGAGGTTAAATTGTTACATAAAATAATACGATTTTAAAATTTTTGATATCTTTGGTTACCAGAAACAGTTTCTTACTTGCTTGTTTCATTAGCTCTCTTATTGTTGAAGACATTTTGCAGTCATTGACCACGTGAATGGTTGACATTATACACAGCCATTGAGAGAGATCATTTTTTTTAAATGAATGTCACCCAAGGTGGGACCCACCTACTCCAATACTAGAATTACATTTTGGTTGTTAGTGAAGCTGCGCCATGGAACTATAAACATTATTGTTTAAAGTGTTTATTTTGGGTGTCAAATGTCTTATACGGTACTTCTTGCGTTGAACATAGCTTCGAGGTTTTGTCAACACTAGTTCCTAACAACAGCTGTTCCCACATCAAAACAACATCATTTCCTTTGATTCCTTTTTGGGTGATCATGGGAGCACTGTTCGGGATTGGTCATAGCGGATTAATGCAGTCATATAGGAAATCATTTAAGATAGGGGAATTGTAATAGAGATACTGTATTTATCATTAGTTTTCCTAACAATTTGTTCCTTATATTCCAAAAATGATATAATTTAAATACTTTATTTTTGTTTTATAGAAATGTTTATCAATTCTCAAATGAAAATTATCATTTCAATTTTGGTATTTTCTGAGTAAAAAGTCTGAATCATTTATAATTCAGAAATTCAATGTTATAATATTTACAGTATATCTGATTTTATTGCAAATTGTGTATTAAAATCACGTTTCTATCTTGCAACACTTAGTTATGTAAAGCTGGGTGCTCTACAGTAGTCAGCCGACGCGATTCTATGAAGGACACCACAATCCGCGCTCATTAGCTGATCATTTTTAATGACGATCCATTTAGGCTGCCACCGATATTCACCAGACAGCATTGCGTTGTCTGTTGCTCATATTGAGCAGAGTTTTCTTCATCTCTCGACTGTCTTACAATCCATTTTGGCTGCCTCCGATATTCACCAATCAGCGTTGCGTTGTCTGTTACTCACTTTAAGCGGAGTTGGCTTCATCGCTCGAACTTCTTACGACGCGGTGAGTGCCCGGCTTTAGCAGTCAATTTGACAACTGAGAAATTTTCTAATAAGCTTTTTTTGTATCGTTTTATGTACTTTTTCAAGATAAAATCTACAGTACCTATAAATTGAATATTTCTTTCAAAAATTATCCTTGTTTCCTATTGATTTTAAAATCTTTGAACATTCAAGGTAAAAATACATTAAATTATTTTCTTATGCATTTCTAATCCTGTTTCCAATTTTTTCATGCTAATGTCATGGTCGCATAAAGTACTGAGGAAGCGATGGTATATTAGACAAATGTTTTAGGAAAAAAGCCCCAAATTTGTTAAATTGTGTCAGATGAATGGCCTTACATCTGATTATGAATGAAAGATTATTTGATAGCTGGCATGGTTTGGCATTAATGATTTGTTTCTTTTTGGCATATATTATCATAAAGTAACAGATGGACTTCCCTTTCTATAATTTATATTTAAATTTTGTTACAAATTGATTATCATTTTGGTTTTACTGATGCTTGCGGGTAGTGTTTTTCATTGTAATTCTAATATTTAGTTTAGTGACGTATCATTTGGACAGCAATATCTTCCTGATGGGCATTTTTTTTTCAAAGAAAAATGGTTAAAATTAATAATAAATAATGAAAACATTTCATCACCATAAATCCATTTGGAATTGTTGAGAACAACAATGTGGATGTGAACAGTATGTCTACCGAAGTACCAAATACATTTACTTAAATATTTGTTTTTTCTTACTCTGCAAATACACATAGCATGCTATGGTTAATAAAACATTAACCCATTTAAGTATTATCATTTACTACTATAAAAGAATACAGTGTGTCCCTCAGGAAAATTCCATATTTAAACACAAAAAAAATGCTCCCATAAGTGAGCTCAAAGTTATTTTGTTTATATACTTACTTGAGTTAAATGTAATATTTCAATTCAAAATATAGGTAAGTAGGTTAGAGTTTATAAAAAACATTGACCAACTCGGAATTATTACCTGATGATTTATTCTACGAGGCCTTTATCCTCAGTTCATTTTGAATTGCTTGTCTTCATTGATGTAAGCATAGTTTTGTGTTTTGTATTATTTTTGTGATGGTCTGTAGATCAGGCGGATCAGGCAGGGGAGCTATGAGGGCCCCCATTAGTTAAGCCGAAAAATAGATAAGAGGGAGAAAAATTTGAGTGAAAGAGACGAAAGAACAAAGAGAGTACACCCATGAGTTCAGTGGCGATCCAGATGTGGGCGAAAGGAGAGCTCGACTATTTACTACTTATTTTCATTGTTTCTATGTTTTGAATTCCAATTTCTCTTTCACCTTCTGAATTTGCTTGTCGAAATAGCTTAGAGTATCTAATTCTATCAAATTTATCTTTCAAGTATTTTATTTAACAAGGAGTTATTGATTCTTTGTCAAATTGTGAACTTTTATGATTATCTTTAAAGTATGATGAAACCTTTTTTTATACTACAGCTCAGAAAGACATTCATTCAAGGAGGAACTCAAGAGGATATTATGAACCAATGTACATGACTGATGGTTACCACACACTACCTGCAATGCTCAACTGGTACAAGAACCACCAGAATATATACACTGACCAATCATGCACCAGCTTCAAAAGACAGTCACCAATTAGAAACCAGATGACAGATTTGAAAAGTGATGTTTCTCACAGAAATGGAAAGGGCCAACGGAAGAGAGATGCCACTAAGAGTATGGCAATAGAGGATGCTGGCAGTGAGCATGGGTTTGATGATTGGCAGGATCTTGAAGGACCAGAAGGTCCGCCACAAGACATCACTGTTTCACCAAGAGATAAAAAACAATCAAGTAAATTATATGAACTTGATATGGTGGTAATGAAAGGTAATCAATAAAAACTAACCAGTTTAAACAAATAAATAAATACTCAAGAGGTTATCATCCTCATTATCAACAACATCCTGAACGTAAGCCATCAACATGATTGTAGAAGTGGTTTGGCGCAGTGGGAACGGTTTATTTTCCCAACCTCGAGGTCAGGGTTTCAACCACCTCGCTATGCATTTCACTTGTGTCATTGGGCATGGCACTTTATTTGCATTGCTTCTCTCCACCCAGGAGTATAAATGGGTACCTGGTAGAATTAAATGCCAAAATGCGCTTATGTAGCTGCTGCAACTTTATGGAATACTATCTCTTGGAGAGGGTTCCATAGGCGTTTAATCCAATGACTGGGGGTAGTAATGTGAAGCGCTGAGAGGCCTTGCATATTATTATTATTATTATTATTATTATTATTTTTATTATTATTACCACCACTATCAACATCACCGCAGTTAACATCTTTGCAATTAATATAAATTTAACAACATTATCGGCATCAATACTAACAACATCACAAAATTGCAATTATCTCAGCTTTGTTGTGCGAAATTGCTTAAATCTCCAAAAGTGAGTCATTTTGGTGTTACGGGGCACAGATTGTGATTAGAATAAAGTATTTGGTACCACTGTAAAGCTAAAATTGTTGTAGTTCTAGTAGTATTCATTACATCACAATCTGATGACATACGCACTCTCAACGAGCTTCGGAAAAGTGTTAAAATTTGCTAAATAATCTGGCGGTGGCTGATACTGTTTTTTCAAACCCTAGGCGGTCAGTGTTAAAGAACAATATATGAGAAATCAGCCATCAAAGTTTATGATGTCGGGCATTTTTCATGTGGAAACTATCATCAAATCCTTAAAAATTGTTGTTTTAACTTTGAAAATGGGCATAGCATGATTTATAGATATAAAGCTTAGTTTAATGCAATAAAATAGATTTTTATAATTTGACATTCCAGCATGTTTTGACCAATTTCTCTGAAAAACGATTTGCGACGAGTGACTGGGTTTGGCTTGTTTTTGCCATGTATAATATCCATTTAATAGTTAAATATTTATTATCTTTAAGATGAGTGGAGGTGTATCTCCATACAAAAAGTTGCTTTCATGTGTATTAAACTAAATGTCTAAAAAACGTCCAATGTTCTGTGAAGTTTAGGATGGCTACCACCAGTTTAGCAAACTGAGCAAACTGCTCTATATTATGCAGTATATCATGTGCAGGGTGAAAATAAAAACTATTTCATATCATATTGGCATACATACATTGTTTTTAGTTTTATTTGAGAAGTGCATTTAAATCATATTTTAAAATTCTTTTTAAGGTTTAGTTACAGCTGTTGGTTCTGCTGTGGATTTAATTCTTGATCACTTTTCAAGGGCCTCTAAAGGAAAACCTCAAGAAAAGGTAACAGTTAATTTTTTTGTCATGGTATTGCTTTTAATAAATACCCTCTGAGTATTCTGTATTGAAACACTATAAAAATGTCAACATTTCTAAAAAATCTGCCTCAAGAAATTAATAATTGTTTACTTTGTATAATAAGCTATTATCTTTTCAACTAAAAATTAGAACAATAAAAAGAAATTTTGCTATTATAGAGATGTTTATAAACCTATAGTCTGTGCATATAGCTTATACCCTGACATTTCTACCAGCAATATAAATAGAATTGTAGAAAATTGGTTGTTTTTGATCTGTTATAAAGGCTGATTATTCTTGTCATCATGAGCAAAGGCATCTTCAAACTCAAGCTACTGCCTTATCACCTAATGTGAATTTTGTTTTTGATGATTTTATGGATGGCACTTGAGTTTCTGGGACAATATTATGGGCTGCTAGTCGAAAAGATTGGTTCAAAATTTGAAGTAAGATTTAGAAACTCTGCCAACAATTGGAGATAAATCTTTCAAAGTTGGCAGTGGTTTTTTTTAAAGCTTAGTACTATGTACTTGATCAGAACCTTGTTAGTGTTTGCTCTTACATCACCTTATTTCTCAACTCAGAACACCATTAGCATACATCGTCAATTTTTTTGTTTTTTGATCAATGAAAATGAAAACAAACTATATTAAAACAAAATGTAAATGATATTAAAACTCTGCCCACCAAACATGGAGATCTCTGTGTTTGGTAACGCAAAGCTTTACCGCCAAACACAGGGGATCTCGGTGTTTTTTAGGTTTTTTTACGGAATACGATAGATGGGGTAATTACCGACATGTACTAACAATTTGAACACTATATTCAGTCTGAACTGTAAGTGTTTCGCTATTTCAATGTGACCTATTCTCAGTGACCTCATATTGTACAGCGATACTGAAACGCCGTATCTCGGCTTCATTGTGTGAATATGCGTAAAACAACTAAAGTCAGTCACTTTCGTTTTACTGTTCCGGGTCACAGATTATGATTAAAATAAAGTGTTTGATACCATTGTAAAGCTAAGATGTTTGTAGTTCATTGTAGTATTTATTACATGTCAATGGGGATCACATACACACTCTCAACATATTTATACGATTAAACAAGTATATAAACGACAGGTCCAAGTAAATACGTAATTATTTTTTATTGCAACTAAAAATTGTTTACTCTTAGTCACTAACTGAATTATGAAAGTGGTAATTAAATTTTTAATAAAAACTTTTCTGGGGTGTTATAATTTCCCTGGCCAGTATTCTTGTCAATTGTTCAACTTGCAATAATAAAAAGGAAACTGTGTTGGCTGGATAAGAAGATTATATGACCTTAAACTGACCTTATTAATTAACCTTTATGCTGGATTTGACTTAGGATTTACAGACAATGAGCAATATATGTTAACAACAAAACTTGATTAGTTTACAAGTGTGGTGTTAATTATCAACAATTAAATTTAAAGGATATTTTGAAACATTTTTTGGAAGGTTTTTTGATAATTGTACTCTAGCATACTACTATTCTCTGAACCTTCAGGATTTTGTTTTTGAAGTTTGAACAAAGAAAGGATTTTCATCATTTTGGACTATTTAAGGCCTTGTTCAGACACTCAAATTTTATTTGACAAAAACATGTGACATGCCTAAATATGGTCATGATAACATTGCATCATGACTGTGTTCATACAACAGGTTATTGTCAATGAAAATTTGATAATATGGACAGAGCCTAAGAATAATTTAATTTTAATTTATTTAGTAGAACAAAGTACAGAAAATAAACTAGCAGTTTCTAATAGAAAAGTAAAATGCTGCGAGTATGCAATTCATGTATATACTAATAGATACTTCAGTACATAAAATGGTGTACTGATTTTTAGTTTTAGTATTAATATTATAGTAATAATAATATTTCTTTATTTGTCCTCGTATATGTATGCCTACACACTGGGAAATTCGGGCTGGGTCCCCGGGGACCCGCAGCTGCCATAGCTCGGCGCCAACTACTTCACTTACTCTACAACATCAAACGGATACAGACTGATACATACATGGTCCTTAACTCGCCTAACTCTCTTGAGAGGGTTATTCGAGGAGCTGAGCGTTTTGTTATTATAAAAGACCTGAATTCAATACTCGATGCAGAGCCGGGTATCGAACTGGGCCCTGGCGTGCAAGAGGCAGGAACCATACCAATTAGCCAAACGCTCAGGTAGAAATGTATGATTTGGTGACTTACAAGAATGGGTTTCAAAAATTCTGTTTACAATGCTACAAAACAACATAATAATATACTAATAGACATGTTAGTAGTCGATCTTGTTTTATTGTTAACCACAATAGGCTTCACAGTATTTAAATATGTAAAAAAAAAGTGTTATCCACAATTGCCTTCACAGTATTTAAATCTGTTTTAAGAATAAATTATTTAAAACTTTTTAATATTTTCTCAATTATTTAAAACTGTTTCAAAAAAGAAACATTATAGAGAACTTCAGGATAACCCTAAAGCATGTTTCCGAAGGGGTCCTGTTAAAATAATAACACCATTTAAACATTTCAGTGAATTGTTAGTGTATCATAATGTACATTAAATTGTTTATTTCCTCCGAAGATTGCTTGTTTGTTACAGTGCCTTTTGAAATGGTAGTTAACTACTGTGTCCAAGTACTCATTTAGTTTTTTCTATCTCTTGATCATGAATATTCAGAAGATTATGATCAACATTCCATTTAAGAAAATAACAGGTCATCTTCACTTTACATGGAGTAAATAAAAAAAATTCTGTATTTAAGTATTTTTGTGTATCATTATGAAAACGACTTTATTAAAAGTGTTGACTGCATACCTCATGACTTGCATTTTGGATAATTTTAATATTGTTGGCTGATATATATTATACTCTGAAGAAAAGAGAATCAGATGACAGGAACTTGTGGAGCAAGAAGGCTTTAATAAACATTAGACAAAATGTGCACAAAGCATGGTACAAACAGGGAATACAAGTCAATTAAAATAATGATGCAGAAATTTTGCGAGTGTCAAGTATTGAGTCATTCAACCCGTTTAGTCCCCTTGCTAATGTGTCCTTCCTCTTGTATCAATCTAACAGTATATGTCTATTTTTAGGCTGACCTGGGAAAATTTATGGTTTCAACCATCAATTATACCTCTAATTTTTATTGATTTTCATTAATTTGAGGATGATCATATGAGAACTAAAGTGACAGAACTTGTCATTGAGCCGTTTACTCTGACATCTTCAGACGTTATATTAATACTTGCAACTAATTACTATCAATCTGAAATATGTGTCTATTTTTAAGCTGACCTGGCAAAAATCATGGATTCTGCAATCAATTAATGCATCTAATATCTATTGATCTTTATGATTACTGTAGTTTTAGGAGGAACAATCATGTAGGAATTATGGTGACAAATCTTATTGATATGGCCTTATATGTCTTCAAAAACAGGGGAGGGGTGAGCAAACAATTTTTGATTTAGGAAGGTGCATTTAGGAAGAGTACTACAGTGTTACGTCACGATACCACACCGTTGCTATTGGCGACACAAAATGCGTTCAACCGGATGCCATTTTCTCTACTGACAAACCATTGATTCCAATTTCTAACGTAATTATTAAGATGTTATTTCTTAGTTTTTCTTTGTAAATTGATGATTAAATGTGTGTTCGATAACTATATATAATGCAAGCTTTTGTGTTTTTAGTACATTTTGATGGTAAATTATTAGGTTTTAAAATGCCTATTCCAGAAAGCCTATTCTAAACCATTAATATTATGAAGTCATTCAGGCATAATGAACGGTAACCAATGTCTGGTTGACAACAAAGCTCGCCACTTGGTGTTGTGATGACACGACTGTTGTACTCTATAACAGGTGCTGGTGGCGCTCTCTGAAATTATCTAATACTAGGAAAAATCAATAAATTAGAGACTTGTGGCAAGTCTAGCTCCTGGGTTAATATTATTGTCAGTCTAATATGTAGAATTTTTTAAAATTTTATTTGTAGTTGCTGTTCAATTTTTATAGTACTACTGTACTAGTTATATATTTTTTTTAATTTTAATTGTTAATATTATTGTTTATTATTATAAAAAAAATTTTGATATTATCTTGACAGCTTAATGTTTAAAACAGTAAGAGGCATAAAGTAGCACTTTAAGACTTGTTGAGATTTTATAATCTCAAAGTACTACGTTTTGCTTTCTTACCGTATGTAAAATGGAAATAGAAAGAGGTAGAGACCAGTATAAGAGATGGCTCAGAAGAGAGAAATACATTTAGGCTGTATGATGCCTGAAGATTGATTTATAAATGGTTTGATTGATTATTGAGTGATTAATAAATGATTGATGATAGTTTGATTGAAGCACAAATCATTATAGAATACTTGTTTGACCTAAATGTTGTTTATTTCTACTTGCAGGCTGTTCTTGGAGACACTGTACGAACACCAACCATTGGGTTTCTGGTGCTGAATCATCTGTGCCCTGCCATCGCCAACATCATCAAAGATGGCATGAAACCATACATCAGAAATTTCATCATTGGTAGGATGAAGAACTCCATTTGGCAGGTGGTTGAAGCTACCACTGAACTTGGTATGATGTAATATTTTTATACTTTAAAAGATAAATCTTGAGGGATAGTATTAATAGTGATGATGAAAATTCAGATGGAGATATTGTGATGTAAAAGATATGATTGTAATTATGCTGAATGTGGTGGTATTGATGTTGTTAATGGAAGTATTTCTAATATGCAGTTGAAGATGCAGTAACATCCTATCTCTCTTTATTCTCTAGGTCCTGGTACCAGGTCCTTATATGAATTGGTGTGTCTCATACAAGAACAAAAGTCCTTGTCAACAGATGCTCTGAAGTTCAATGCCTTCATCTTTGGACTTCTCAGGTAAGAGATGTAATATAATTAAGAACATGTTAGTGGTTACAATATGTGTTAGATGTTGTTATTGCACCTGTGTGTGGTTTTGTTAAGTTTGAGCATTTAGCATAATTCACATTAATACTACATTTAAAACTGAGCATTGAATGTTAATTGGAAAAGAAATGTTCATTGTGTCAGGACTTGTGAATGTATTGACAAAGAAATTATGCTTGAAAGATATTTGCACAAAGGGATTAAAAGTTGCCTCTCAAGATTTTCTTTTATTTCACATTCCATCTAATTTGGTTGCTCTCACATGCTGTGGCTATTTGCTGCAATGCAGCTAATAAGAAATAAATAAGCTAAAGGATGTTTACATTTTATTCAGCATGAAGGCTCTAATTATTCATGATTTACTTCATGGGAAATACACCTTTTTCAGTTTCACTGTAACATGATACAATTGACATACTGTAAACACCAGACTGTCAAACATTTAAATCATTCAACATTTTAGATATTCATGATTTATTATTTATTTAAAACATGATATATTATTTATTTTTGTTATTGGTACTCAGTGTCTCTACATTATTACATGGGAGGTAAGTCCACAAATATAAAAAAAATAAAAAATCAGAAAATAAAGATTACCATCTGTTGCATGCTATAACAGAATCATTGAGGGAGCGCATTCTAATTTCAAACACTATGATAATAT